CAGAAGGAACTGAAGAGGAGGAGAGGAGGAGGAGAACTATCAGCGTGGGATCCCTTAGTGGGGACTTGAATCTAATAAATGTTTCATATTTCTGACAGTTAATCCCACAAAAGAACTGCCTGAAAATATCTAACAAACCATTCAAGGACCAATCTGTTTATTACTGAGCAGTGGCTGGCAGCTGAAAGGAATATCACAAGACAAACAGAAGCGGGGGGGGGGGGGGGGGGGAAACAAAGTATTTTTAGGGACAGATGGGATGCATGTGCACATGAGGAAGAGTGCATAAGCAGCAGCTGACATCCCTGGATGCAGTTTCCTGTTCAGACCAAGCGAGGGAGCTGTTGGGTTTGATTTCGGAGATCCCAGAGGGGCCGAGACTGTAGCCTGCCAAGACTAAAAGGAATGAGAAAAACAACAGAGATAGAAACAGAGAGAAAGAGGAGGGAGTGAGAAAACGGGGAGGGTGAGGAGGAAGCAAAAAGAAGGTGACTGACTACATTACATCACCGCTCTCTGTGAAAATACTTCTCACCAGCTTACGTCAGTGGGAAAGACTCCAATCACACTTTTGGTTCAGGAACAACACCTTCATTGTACTGCTGTTTCATATTGTAGTGCTTCTTTTTGCCTTTTTCCTTTGGCTTTATCGACAACACATACAGTCCTGGACGGCCACACGCTGAAGATGTCTGAACGCTTGCTTTCGGTTTGTTACATTTGAACTACACTTGGTTTATAATCTAATGCTTTGAAGTGAAAGAAAAAAAACCTCATTGATTTTAAAGATATGGCTTCGTTAGAATATCCGGCAGACAGGCAGAATTTCAGCTTGGTAAACATGAGAGCGAACGCGTCTCCTCCGAGCTATCCCGGTGTTGACAGCTTTACTGCTCATCAGACTAACGGCACCTCTGCCCCTCTGCTGATGCGCCTGCTTACCTGCCTGCCTCCTCAGCAGCTCAACAAAAGTTGTCTGGCCGCACCAGTGAAAAAAAGGAAGACTCAAACCGATGGAGCTGCCGAGTCTGAGAGGTGGAAGCGGTTCGTAGGGGGGTGGCGCGTGTGGGCTTTTAATCTCTAAAAAAGAACCGGGCCCAGGTCCGTTGGCACTCACAGGGAAAATGGTGTGTGAGGGGCCTGTTACAGAACTGTGTTTGAGAGCTAATGATCCCAAGCACTGCTCTCTGCCATGTAAAAAAATAAAATAAAAAAATAAAAAAACAGCTCTGTGCCTTGAAGTCCCAGATAACCTGTGTGTGGGGATTTTTGCTGCAGCCAGCGTTTTCTCCGGTCTCATCATCAATCATTAGACTTTCTCACAAACTGTTGGAATCAGGTCTGTCCTGCTGCGAACGCGTTTAGTGTTCCAGGACTGGCGTGGGCGCCGGGTTGTGTGGGCTTGTGTGAGTGAGCGCCCCGTGTGTGTGTGTGTGCACGTCTTGCTGTGAACGCAGATACAGCTACACTCAGCACTGGACATCGCAGCATGCAGCACCTGAGAGAGATCGAAAGAGGAGCCAGCACGTGTGTGTGTGTGTGTGTTTGGTTGGGGGAAAAGTGCTGCTTTACGAAAAGGTGGAGAAGTGGGAAAAGACAACAGGAGTGAATTCACATCAGCGAACACCGAAGACACGGCAATATTTGAGTTACACAAGCTACCCACCCACACACACACACTCACACACATACACACACACCCAGTTACAGTCCAGGTGCACTGGCTGGTCACCGCTTTTGATGAAGCAGCTACTCCCAGGCAGAATTAGGTCAGAGAGCCTCTGGGCCCTCTGGAGTAAGGAGAAGGCTCTGTTCTTTGCATCTCTGTCGATGTCACGCACACATACATGCTCGCCTCGCAAAAGCACCCAGTCAAAAGGAAATCTTGTTGTTTCCTGTTTATGCATTCACATGTACAGTACAGGCTCAAAACCTGACAACCTACATGTCGTCTTTATCAGTTGGGTCGGTCAAATAGCTCCTACTGGGTGAAATGACCCGGAAATATCTAAGTGCTTCCCATGGTAAGGGCTGGTCTTAATTACCCCCGACGCACACAGACAGGAGCTGCAACGCTCCCCTAAGGATCACACAGCAAATGAAAAGCGGCTCCTTGCAAAGGCGATACTCAGTTATTTTGATATAGATGTGCGACCTGTGATTCATGTAAATAGGGCAAGAAAGTGAGAGTCTGCTGCAGGAGTGCACCCCCTTTGCACGCATTTTTCAATGTTCTTTTTCATCGCGTTGATATATTTGATATGGACAATCTGAAATAGCATGAAAGATGGATCAGACAAAGTGTCCATGGCAATTTTCTTTTTTTTCTTTTTTCGGAACATCGTGAAATACATAAGCCCTTAACTATCATTACTGCTAACAACACCCTAGCTAACAATAGATTAGAGCCATTGAGACCGTGTGGCGTTGGAATTGTTTTTGTCGTTTCTGAACCATAAGTTGCTTTTCGGTTGGAACAAGCACTTGAATTCAATTCAATTCATTCTTGTCCCTTTTCGTTTATCCACGTTAATCCCAGTATGATAACTTTAGTCCAATAGTCTTCCTGCCTCCCTTTGTGAATTTACCTTATGCTGTTATTTTCTCATGCAATCCAACTCTATCCCAGCTCCAGCCCCTCCCACAGCCCAGGAAGTGACCACCACAGGTTTCCCAGGCCCTCTGATCAACTTCGCATAAAATCCCATCCAAAACTTCACTCTCATCCTGTTTGTTTCTCTTTTTCATGATCATCTCCCAAATTTACGAGCTATCAATGTGTGTTTTAAACATGTGTTCTTTCCAGACAACCAATCCCACACAGCAACAAATCAACATCCAAATCCCCTCTTTCTCCAGCTCCTCTCCCCTCGCATTCCAGAACTGGGATTAGCTGTTATGTCTGAGGTATGGGAGTGAGGCTTACCTGCGAGTGGCCGCCTCGTCCTCGGTCCCCCAGCAGAAGAGAGGGAGATTAGCCCAGTGCGCAAACACTCCGGGATTACTCACCAGCCAGGATTAATGGCTGCAAGCATACAGTATTTACTGTTCTGTGTTGTGCATTCATAAGTGCCGGAGTCGGGGCTCTCCCCTCCATGTTCTCGCATCTTAAAGATTACTCAGTGAGATCGCCTCCCTGGTGAAGAGGGTTACTCTGAGCCTCTCTAAAAGGTAAACCGATGGGGCAAGGATTAGTCAGCAAATCTATAGCAGCACATGAAATGTCCGCACAACAGGCCTTTATTTCCTATTTGTGTCGTGTTTTTCTTTACATACCATGTTCTTCACTTGGTGTCTAGCTGTTTTTTTCAGGATCTGCGTCGCAATTTTTTTTTAACCTTCTGTTTACTTCCAAGTTCTGCCCAGTCAGGAAGACGGCAGCTACTTGTTGGTCCTGACGATATTTTTGTTTTATCCTCACCTGCCAAGCAAAGGCAGCTGCCATCGCAGAGAGAGCATCTTGCATAAGTCATGCAGCCCGCCAAAGGAAGAGATCAATAACACAGCCAAGGTTTACTAGCATTTTCTTTTTTTCTTTTTTTTTGCCAGAGCTAAATCAGGGATGGGCAGTGATTCGTTGTGCTTCATTTAAAGTACAGTACAGCTTGGGAATGTAATTGGTCTCCTGACAAATGTAATTACACAGACGCGAGCACGTGGTCCCTCACTCATGCTGTGCTTTTTTTTGTGTGGTTGGAGCCAAGTAAAATGTGTCATCCTGAAAAGCAAAAAATGACGTATTTGGATTGATTTTCACTTGTCGCAACATAAAAAGGAGAAGAATGAGAAAACTCTTCTTCTTCCTCTTTTGTAGCAATGCGCAATATTGTTTCGTTATTGTGCTGTCCGAACTAAGGATAAAAAATAATTCATTTTTCCAAGGCACTATGCAGTAAAGCAAATTTACTGTCTAGACAACCCGGATGACAAAATTATGGACAGATTGTAAATAAGTTAGAAAAGTATCTTGCAGGTACTTCCAAATTGCAATTTTTATCGAAATCACTCCACAGTTATGATTGGACAGAACAATCACTGACATCTCCTCTGATTTTCAAGGAAGAGAAAATAGAAAGAAAATTCTAAATTGCACCATAAAATATGAGCACATCTTTTGGGTAAATCTTTTTTTTTTCTCTTTTCATCTCTGGATACTCATCTCTTGAATGTCATATATTAGGTCAAGCATTTTCAGAGAAACCTCCATGTTGTTTGTTACTCTCCAGCTTACTGAGGGACACATGAAGGGATATATTTTCCCTGCTGCAGGTTTCAAAGGCAAGCACTGGAAACAAAGCAAATGTTTTCATCTTGACTTTTAAGAGTAACTTAGGTGCTAAATATATCCCTTTCCCTGGCAGAGGAATGATGTCAACTCTCTCTTCTGCTGCTGTCGTTCTCTGTGATGAAAATTTAAAAAATTTAAACGACACTTTCCCTCTTTCCCACATCAGTCATGGTTGTGCAGGATTGGCACCACAGTTGTCCAGTGCTGTGCTTTGTTCACGTTTTAGCCATCTTCTTAGATGTCACCTTTTTTATTTTCCTGTTTGACATTTATTCATAGACAAAGAAACATTTGAATAATACAATACCCTGCAAACAAACTGAGTGTTTTCTGAGTCGCTAGGTGTGAGGACGGAAGTGGCAGTTCTGCTATTCTTCTCGGGAGGGTGGGAAAACAGGTGGGGGGGGGGCAATATGTTGTCTGGCAGGTAGCACACTTTCCCCGCATTGTTGATAAAGACACATCAGAGATGATGTCAGCATGACTGTGGCAGTCCTGTATGTTTGTACCATCTTATTTTTCTTTTGTTGGAGAAATTTCCATTATGTTTAGCTTCAATTTGCGCTGTGTGCTGATATACTAAAAACGAAGGAAATCATTTGTGGAACTTGTAGAATTCACTTTCATTTCAGTGCCCTTGGAAAACAGCTCATACTAAAATTAACTGTACAGCCCATATTTTAAAGTGAGTTTGATTCAGTCAGTTCTTTACCCAGATAGATAGATAGATAGATAGATAGATAGATAGATAGATAGATAGATAGATAGATAGATAGATAGATAGATAGATAGATAGATAGATAGATAGATAGATAGATAGATAGATAGATAGATAGATATTCTTCCACCAGACAGCGGGTGAAAACTGCCAATACAACTGTCTCGCAGCAAAGATACCCGAGAAAAATTTCTGACAGTGTTAGAAATGTTGGATGATCGTCCTGCAGTGCGACTGCTTCGACGACCTACATCTCCAAATCAATAAATGGGAGCACTGTGTGGAGCGATGTGTCACCCCACGGTGAACACGACATCGGCACTGATCTGTGAAAACCACAACAGACCTAAACAGTACAAACGGAGGCTAAATGAGCAAATCACGACGTGCGGAGTTTAAAGAGAAAAGCAAATGTTTTAAGTCAGCGGACATCCTGTCTGTATCATGCAACATGTAGCTCAGACCCTAAGTATACCAAAAAAAGAAGGCACATTATCTGGAAGGACACGGGCGAAATACTACAACTTCTAATAAAATAGAATACCAAATACATTTTAATACTCTCAACAGCGCACAAGGACAGTTGGTATTTGTTTACAGTGCTCCTACTGTGGCACCCTGCTAAAACTTTTCAGATATTGTTGCACAATCTGCACCAGTGATCTTGTACAATGGCTGAAATCACTGTGTGATGTCTTTAAAAAAGCAAGTGTTGCTCTCAACCTGGAAAGGCTTCTAAGAACATTTACTGTTAATGTGTGTGATGGTGCAAAAACCAAGATTTGTGGTTTATCTTGCAGACCTGCCAGAACAAAGCCCGTTCTTACTTAAAAGAACATGGTTTGCTGCGTTTTACTTGAACTAATCACAAAACCTCTCTTTTTCCGATATTCTCAGGACAGTTGAGACAACAGTAGAGATGCTTGTTCATGGTGTTTTGAAAACCAAAGACAATATATTTCCTATCATCTGACAAGCATGGCAGTAGAGGGGATATGATACGGGCTCTGGGTTTATCTGTGTTCCAGTATTCGAGAGTCAAATGCTAGGCTATATGTGACAGCCACAGCTTGACACCAGTTTGGCCAAGCACCAAATCTGAAGAATGTCCCTGAAAAGGAACAGCTCCAAGGTGTTGCATTAACCCAAAGTCCAGACCTCAAATCGACTGAAACGTTGTGGCAAAGCCTTTGGGGAACAATGAATCGAATAATGCCTGCAAGCGTCAGTGTACTGAAAAAAACATTTTAAACAAAGGGCTGACCCTTGACATTCCTGTTTCCATTCTTTATGTTTTCCCATCTCATTTTCCTATTATTTTGGGCCTGTCTTTCCTCCAGTCTCGTTGTGAAAAGACCACCTTGTTAACCTACAGTTGTCCATGCTACATGGAGGCGGATCAGCCTCACATCATCGTGCGCTTACACATTAACAAAGCAGAGTCAGCTCAGTTTTGACAGTGTTGCTCTCGAATGGAGAGGGACACCAGCTTGCAGTTACAAACATAACAGAGCTCGTTGTTGCTACCTTGTTTTCAGGGTCAAAGGGGAATCAGAGGTGTATGTACTTTTGATTCCGTGCTATGACACATGACTACGGACTGTAAAAAATGGCACGTCACTTCACGTTTGAAAAATCATTGTGATGAAGCCTAACATCTGTTTAGGCAGGGAATGTCTGGAGATAACTACCCTCTTCAGCAGTTTATCTACCCCAGACTCTTTGCCACTAACTGACATTTTACCAGTTCACCAAAAATAGAAGATATCGGCTGTCAGTTCTAATTTGAGAATCAAAGTATTTTCCAGTCTGCTCTGTCACAGTCCCACAACTGAAGTTCCCACAGAATTCTTAAAAGACAGACACTTTACTTACTCATGCTTCCTTTGCAGATAAGGATAATGTCAAATTGTGACAAAAAAATATGTATATATATCTACATAAGTATATATACATAATACATACATAATATATATAATACATATATATAATACAATTGTACTTACTTATATATATATGTTATTCTATATATATAAGTAATGACAAGTGTTACTCATGAAAGAGGTATAACATGTTATATGTGATGTAAATCACAGCAAATTATGTCAACCTAATTTGGGGGAGAAGAGACACATTTTAATTTAAAACATGGTGCCATATTTGGTAAATCTGAGTTTTATAGTCTTTATTAAATAGGAGCTGACTTTCCACTCAAATCTGTGTTTTAAAGCTCAGCCTCGTATTGTAAGCCAGAAGACATTTCACAGAAAAGAGTCTTTGACACTGATTTGAAAATCTGTGAGAAACACAACTTGAACCTTAGGATAATATTGCTTATGATGGTTGTTCACCTCTTCATAAATCACACTCTGTCCAGTTAAATGGAAAAATGGACACGTCCACAGACCTTTGTGAGTAGAGAAAGGGCCTCTTCTTGCAGCACTTTATCTCAGTAGTTATAGATTGTGAAGAGACTTGGGCTTTGGTGAGAAGTATGTAAAACAGAAGGGAGATACTTATCTGTTTTTTCTTTTTTTTTTAAAAGTCTGGTCAAAACATGAATACTTTACAATTATCGACCTTGTCTGAATTGCAAGCCAGCCTTTTCTATTGAGTTGTGTCTTTACATATTACATCTACTTGCAATTTTAATGCATTCTTTTTTTCAAACTCTTAAGATGCTATTGTGTCTTGGGCTGTGCTATTTCTTTCATTGGTGCTTTTTATTGCTTCTAAGACAGCTTAGCACCACCAGAGTAACAGGTGGGAAAGTAAGGATGAAAAAGGCTTTCACATAACAAGAATACCACCACAAAATTCAGCAAATGAACATATAACATAGACATGTGATTACAACCGCATCTGTATTTTTTTCCCTCAGTGCAGTACCTACTACACTGTTTATTCTGTAATTACAGAAGTGAAAATCATTTATAGTTTTACTTATTGGCCCTCGGTTATAGAACCACTGATACATTTAGCCCACCTTATGCTGTAAAATTTAGGGGCGCAACTTCTTCAATTTTTTTATGACAAATATGTAGTCTTGGATTCTTGTTTCCCGCACATGTGATGGGACCAACAGAGTCGATTAGCTGGCGACAGCAAAGTTGGGCTGCTTTACCAAGGTGACCACAGTTTGGCCACTGTCTGTGACTGGGGCTGTTTAGTTTCGACTCCATGAATCATGATAAATACAAGTTAGCTGTATGTTGAACTGAAGATTCCCAATGAATATACAATAAAGTATTTTTGAAAACATTTCCATTTGTGGCGAGTTCCAATTTAGCAAGATATGATTTAACTTCATACAAAGGCAACAAAGGATTCTGTTATAGTCCCTTGTCTCTCGTACCAAGTATCTTAAGTATTTACAATGATTTGCAATTTTAATGTACAACCAGACCAAAAATCAAATGCAATACAAATACAAATATCTGATACTGAAAGACTCTGCAGCCATCTATGCTAACACTTGTAGCACATCATATTTTGTGGTATTTATTTAATTAAACTGTTTTCTGATTGTTTTGCCTGGATACCGTAACAGTTACATTCTCACTATTTCTTCCTGGAGGAGTTTCGTAAGCTTAAAGATCAGAAAACCTGACCACTTTAATGGTTGCTGAACTGAATATTTCTGCAGGCAAAAGCTTTACTTTCTCCCACTCAGAAACCGGAGCATTACACGTAACCCACCGAATACTCCTTCAGTGTCGCCTACTCTCTTCACTTCATGTGGGATCCTCCCACCAGAAAAACCAAAGTAAAGACTCGCACATCTAAAAATCCATTGGATTGGGTGCTGGATCAAATGTTAATAGACGTGAGAAAATAGTAGGATGAATTCACACACCAAAGGGCCCATCTTCAGACTTGTTTGAAGAGACGTCATGACAGCTCTTTGGTGTGGGGATCCTCCCACCACAGCCCAGAGTTTCTTTTTGGTTTGTCCCTCTTTTTACAGGTTTTTTTGTGAGTGTGTGTGTGTTTCCACACCGCACAAGATGCCTTTAATGTGGTAGTTCTGCTGCAACATTCATTTGAAACATCTCCAGCTCGCAAACTTCAAGTTAACCTTCAAAGGGATGTTAGTGTGCTCGCCTCCAGGTGCACCAAAAGAAGATTAAGTTTGGGGCTGAATGAATAACAAATGCAACCATGATTTTTTTTTTTGTGTGTGTGCTTCTGAATTGATATGTGTTGACTTATGTTTAAGGGACATTAAGCTGACAATTGAGGTCCCATTAGCTCTATGACATATCACCATGTGTGAAAGTATGACACGGAAATGCAATGTAGTGAAATGATGAAGACTATTATGGCTTTTATGAGGTAATTGAGTGAAATACTGTTTTGAAAATGCTTTCGAATGGCCCAACATTTTGATATAATTCTAACAAGAATGCCCTGTTTACACGCCTGTGTAATGACTGTGCTTAATGATTGGGATAAAGATTTACATGAATGGTGATATGATGATATGACACTTTTAGGTGATTGCGGATTAAATTAGAGCAGATTGGAAAATGCCTAAAGTGACCCCGACTTGACACCGCATCTAATAGGCAGATTTTTTATCTGATAGAAGAGATTCCAACCCTAAACGAAAAATGTTTCGGTTTATTAGCTCTTTGATGATTTGAGTTTGCCTTATATACATTCAAAAGTCCAGTCTAGGTTTAATGAACATTAATGAATATCTACTTGGGAATTGGAAACGTGCTTACTCAATCAGGTAAAGAACAGATGAAGACTGTTTCATTAAAGAAACGATAAATATAATCTATAAAGAAAATGTGTTTTCATATCTTTACCAAGTGATGCTGGTAGAGATTTGAACCGACAGGCCACAATCTGACCGGTCGAGGTAACCTTTTGAATTGATGGTGAGTCCAACCATTTGCCCCAATATTTTTTTATACAGTTGTCCTTTTTTGGTATGCTCCAATAGTGACATTTCTGGTGGGAAAAAAGAAAAAAAAATATTTGCCATATCATGCTATAAACATCTGCCTTATGACTGAGAGGGCAGAATTGCTGGCTTTAAAGATGAGACCGAATCAAATTGAAAAAAAAAAGTAAGCATGTTTGTTCATTGTGTGGCACATAGGAAAAAATGCCATTAATTTCATTTCAAAATGTGCTCCATCTCTTAA